TTCATCTTGGCCCAAGGCATCACTTTGTGCCAAACGCTGAGATACTGGCCTTTGTCAAACACACCTGAATCTCTGGGTACCCAGATGTGGACAGTCTAGAGTAAGAATGCCTTATCTTTTCCCCAGGTGAGTATCTTTGGTCTTAGATGGTCATCCAGAGAAATTAAGTGACCTACCCAATGTCACTGTAAACCAATGGAGGAAACAATGATAAAGATAGCTACCGTTAGTGAGTATTTATCATGTGCCAGCAACAGTGCTAAGGGATTTATATGCTTTACCTTGTTAAACCTTACACCATTCACACCTTTATTATGGCTCTAATATTATCCCCATTTTACAGATGAGGAAACGGGTTAAGAGAGGTGAATCACTTACTTAAGTACACACAGCCATTAAGTGAGTGGAAAGGGATTTGAGCCCACAGAGTCTGATGGCAGAGTCCATACCAATAACTGCTTTAATCAAGGGAGTCTGTGAGTTGCCTAGTTCTCAAGAAAGGAAAACCAACCGATTTGGCTGGGCAGGGCCCTAGGGGAGAGGGAGAGAAAACACTCTGACTCCTTCTCCCATTTTCCATTCTTTTTCTGGAAGGTAATTGCTTGGGGCAGTGACAATCTCCTGGCGAATTACACAGCTGGTTTCCCAGTGAGATTTGTAACAACAACCCCGCCAGCCTGGCAGCCCCCAGCAAGTTCCGGTTTAAGAAACTAATTGCTGGATTGTGTAGTTGGTGCTAAATTGGGTAATTTCTTGGTGACGGCATCTGTGCCACTTCTTCCATTCCCAGATAGATTTGAGCTGCATCAGAGAAGAATTTGTCACACACGGCACCCTCCCAGACTCCTTCACTCACCACTTTCCAGCCAACCATAGACTACTGCAAAAGTGGCTGCTTCCCTCGGCCCTCTCACCATTCGGGCAGCTCTCTGTGTCCTGGGATAGTGGATGGATGACTTGGTGCAATAAAAATGAGAAAATAACACCAGCACCCAGAATTGTCATAGGACTTCAGGGAGTGTCCTTTATTCTATACTAATCTGACCTTGGGCTTAGTATAAACTCAGTGCTCACCACACATGGGAAAAGGCTAAATCACACTCTGGTTAGCTCTGGGAGATATGTATGGATGAGGTCTTTTTATTTGTTTGTTTACTTTAAAAAAAAACATATTCACTTTCATTACTGTGCTCACTTCAGAATGGCATTGAATAAGTTTGACTTCTCTGGGCTGGCAACACAGATAGGAGAAAAGCTAAGGCTTTGAAATCGGCCAACACTGGATTTGACTTCTGGCTTTGACAGCAGCTCTCAGTGTGATCTTGGGGAGCTCAAGTTAGCCTCTCCAAATCTCAGTTTCTTCTTCTGTACACTGGAAGGTGGTGGGGGGCGGACAATACCTATCCCTTGGAATAGTTGTGGGAATCACACAAAATATCATAAATGAAAGGATCTTGTTCTTTGTAGACTCACATGCACTCAGCAAATGCCTGCCATATGCTAAGGATTGTTCTAGGGACTGGGGACAATTCAGTGGATAAGATGGATACAATTCCTGCACTTATGTGGAGCTTACATTCTAGTGGGAGAGACGGACAATCTAGGAGTCACACATATTTTAAATGGTAACAGTATAAGAGACAGGTACATGGTGCCTTGAGAGCAAACAGCAGGGGGATCTGACCTAGTCAGGGAGGCCAGAGAAAGCTTCCCCGAGGAAGCAACAACTGGGCTGAGATCTGAAGGGTGTGTAGGAGTTAGCAAGGCAGAGGTGGGTAGGAAAAGCTTTCCCAACAGGGGGAATAGGCCGCGTGATGCGAGGGATCATGGGACTGACAAAAGACTGTCCTGGCTGCCGCAGAGAAAGCAAGGGGAGCATGTTGTGAGAGGATGTTGGAAAAGTAGGAAGGGCCAGACCCTGCAGGTCTTGTTGGACAAGTGAAGGCATTTTATCCTGAGAACATCAATAAACCAATGAAGAGTTTTAAGCAGAGAAGTGACATGATGAGATTTGCATTTTCAAGTGACCATTTGGATTGGAGCGGGGTAAGAACGGAAGCAGGGAGACCAGTTAGGAGAAGACGTGCAGGCATGCAGGCAGGAGATGGTGTTCTCAGGAACAGTTGGATTCATTAGCAGTGCTTTCTGCTGCAAATACTACAGGAAATCTGGCCAACAGTGGTTTAAATAAAGAGCGCATTCCTTATCACATGTAGACCTGGAGTAAAGCAACTGTTCACGTTGGTTCCATGGCCCGATGATGTCAGAACTGACATCTCTGCAGTTCTCTAGGCCTCTTGTGGTGGCAAGATAGCGGCCCTAGCTCTGGCCATCATGGTTGTAGTCAAGCTAAAAATAAGAGGAGGAAAGATGGCACTAGCAATTCCTGCCTCTTTGGTCACAAAGGCAAAGTCTTTCCCAGAAACCCTCATTATGCTTCCATGTATATATCATTAACCAAAATGGAATCATGTGGCCTCTAGTTACAAAGGAGGCCGAGATAAGGACAAGGAGGCTGGGAATGAGTTTTAGCGAGTCAGCCAACAGTGATATGGTGAATATGGAATAAATGGGCACATCTGTTGTTGTTTTTTTTTTTTTTTTTAGGAAGCAAAATCCATAGGGCATGGTGATGGACTGAATTATTAGTCTCTTCCTCACTTGTTTTTCCCTCCCATTGATTTTGTTTAGTAATGGAGTGAAGGCGAGTGATGTGGGGGGAGGAATGTGATCATAAAGCATATATAGGAGGAAGCCAGTTGTTAATTAAATATTTTCTTTAGAAAATCCATAAATTGGGTATCTCCTGCTCCCAGTAATTTGGATTTTGATTATACTGTTTACTATTTGGACACTGGGGATTTTGTAAATCCAAAGAAAGGCTTCTCATGAGGGATTACACTGTATTAATCTTTTAGAGTTTGTAAGATTGATTTTATTATTTGATACTCATTGAAATCCTGGGAGATAGGTGAGCAGGTATCCTGAGGCTTAGAGAGGGTGGGCCGCCTCTGGTACGTCAGGTGTCACATACGTTCTGGTCTCAGGACCTGTGCTTTTTCACTATACAGGGCTGCCCTGTAGCATCTGGGTAAAGGAGTTGAGGGGTGATCTGTCTGGAGAGCAGCAATTATAGGGCTCATCTTCTCCAAGACAAGAGCAAGGAGAATGTGGATTGATGCCAGAGGGGCTGAAGTTTCATAGGATCTTGATGAAAGCAGAACAGCTTGCCAGCAGCACCTGCGTGAAGCAGGAGACAGAGGGGCACCTGGGAATGTCCACCCCTGGGAAGTTCCATGAGGCCCTAGCTTGATGTCGCCACACACAGAGCAAATGGGACGATCTGGGCTTCTGCCAAAGTGGCCTTTTGTGCCGTGAGTCTCAGATACAGGTCTTGCCTGGCGCAGGAAGAGGAAAGAGAATGACATGGATGAAGGACCAGGCTGTCTTTCAGTCTTCTTTCCAAGGCAGAGAGATGCTTCCAAGTGCTTTTTCAACAACTACTTGAGAGGCCATCTTGACCTGAAATTCCCTCTGTTTCCCCAAAGAAGGGCAATGGAGGAGAATTGTCATCCAGAGCCAGGCAGCTGGTATCCGTGAGGTCATCCCAGTCTCCCTTTAGGCAGTGTAACCAACAGCTTCTACAGTCCAGGCTCCAGGGTGGGCCAGGGGCTGGGCATGTCTCACCCTGCCCTCTATGGAAGATTCTTAGGAAACCACAGTCTTCTTCATTGTCTCATATCCTTCAGGGTCAGGAAGTTCTTCCTGATGTCTGACTGTGCCTCTTCCACTACTATTAATCATGCTTGCAAAGCTAGCTCTTCTTCCTGATGTCCCTGTGTCTAATAATGGCATCATTAGTCTTCCAGTCACAGCTGCTGCAAACTTCAGGGTCGTCTTACTTTCTGAATTTCTCTCTCCTATTCCCACTATTTGCCATTCCCTGTCTGCCAGAACCCTCTGAGCCTACCCCTTAGAATTCCCTATTTGCACACCTCTTCTCCCTGTGCTTGTTGTTTCCTCCACTGGGTAGGTTCTCTTCCCCATCACCTATGTGTATGGGACACACAGACATCTTGTACTCCATCACAAACACCCTCTCCTCTGAGAAGTCTTCCTTGACTGCCCTCTATTGAATCTGGTCCCATCCTCATCTGACGTAGCCTAACATTTTGGTACCTCTTTACAGCACAGTCATTTGTTCGTCTACTTAGTGAATGTTTATTAAGGACTGGCTCTGGGCAAAGCCCTGAGTTAGGTGCTGGAGATGCAGAGATGAATAGGACTTAGTTCCTATCCTGAAGAAGACCACATTCTAAGTGGGGAGACAGAAACCAAAACAGACATTTTCAATGCAGTGTGAAGGCTGCTTTCATGGGGACACCCAGGGTGTTATAAAAGCCCAATAAAGAGCATAACCTAGAATAAGAGCACAGAAAGTCTTTAAGGGAAGGTGGGGCTTAATATGAGTAAGTGTTAGCCAGGGGGAGGGCTTTGAGGTGGATGAAAGGAAATTCTAGGAGGAGGGTACAGTTTGTGCAAAAATAAAGTGGCCTGAAATAACTCTGTCACGTGAGAGGTTGTTCCCCTGTTAGACTATAAACCCCTTGAGGACAGGGACCACTCTTAAATCACCTCTATACACTTCCCACTCTCTTGCTTATGGTAGCTGTTCAACAAATGTTTGTGGAATGGAATCATATTTGAGGGCAATGGAAAAAAAAAAAAAAAAAAATGCAGTGGCTCAGCACCATGGACAGATCCCACAGACACCTGCAGTTGGAGGTAGTCCAACCTGTAAGCTCATTTGCATGTATTTGAATAATGAAGCCAACCTCATTTCCCTGGGGGTTCAAAGGCTCTGCATCATGGCGGATCCAATCAGTCCTGGTTTTGGGGGGGGTTGGGAAGGGAAACTGTCAGGGCCAGAGACCAGTCCTCTGAGGACTGTGGGAAAACATCTCTCCCCTTTTGCTTACCATCCTTTTCTTTTCCATCAGGAACCAGTGGTCCTGAGCCTTCTGAAGTTAGGATTCTGCCTGGTGGTGAGGATCCTGACATCAAGGATGGGACACCCTGGATGGTGAGTGATAGAAGAGTCTGGGAGTGGGGATTAGACTCAGGTTCTCATGCCAGAATAATGGGTTTGAATCTTGATTCAAAGTGACTCATCCACTTACTGGCTGTGTGACCTCACCATTTTGAGCTCAATTTTCTCATGGGTAAGTGTGGATAATATCTGCATTACAAGATTTCAGTAAGATTAGAGAGTATCAGGTATGCACAATACCTGGTATATAGCAAGTACTTGGGAAATAGTAGGAGATGAGGGATGAGCAGGATCTGAAGAAAGGTGGGTGTGGGGAGGTGGTGGTAGGGAGAAAGAGAATGAGTCTCGGAGGTGCCGCTGTCTGGAGCCTTTGAGGCTGTCATCCCTCCTAGTCAGCAGATGGCCCAGGAGCCTGGTCGAGGATGAGGGAGGGCACCGTCTGCCAGCTCCTCTGTCCCTGTCCCTCCTGCTGTCACTCCCTCCTGCCGTAGCTCCTATCCTGGCAGCTCCTGGAGTCCTGATTGGAGGCAGCTCTTGCTGAGAGCTGACCTCTCTGTCCTGTAGCCTTGGCAAGCCTGGGATGGAGGCCAGGAGCACTGGTTCCTGAGTTTTTTCTCCATCGCTTTCCTGTCTTGCATTCCCTCTGTTCCTGGGAGGAGGAACTCCTGGGTTCCAATCCCAGTTTAGGATTCAGATGCTACTTTGTGTAGCTGCTGTTCTTCTTCACGGATTTTCCTCCTTCATGATTCCCCTCCAGTGGAATGGGAGTGGAGGGTGGGGGGTAAAAGGCAAAAGGGGTAATTTCATAGGGGAAATATTTGGAACCCAGAAGAGGAAGGAGGAAGAGTCATCTCAGATTCTCCTTATTTCAGTCCACAGGGGAGGGAGAATGAGCCTGCGGCCAGATGGAATGCACAGGGCATGGAAGGAAGGGGAGGGATTTTTCTGTGGGATGGTGCTGGATATGTAGATTTGGGTCCAGTGTTCTCTTTGTTCACAGCAGCTGGGAGCTGTGACCCTGAGGCTTGGCTCTTGCAACAGTGGGGTGTAGGGCAGGGTTGGGGTAGAGATGTGGCTGTGGATCTATTTGCCTAATGCCAGCTTGTTAAAAGCTAGTTCACCTAAAGACTGGTTCCTTTGAATATTTTATGTCTCCCTGGGTATCCTTTTGTTTTTGGTAAACTAAGGATATACACATACACACAAACACACATCCCAAAGTATATCTATATATTTACAAATAAATGTGTGTATATGTATATATGTAAATATTTCTATGTATATATAAATATATATGCATTTATAAATATTTATTAATATACATTTACAAATATAAAATCAAACATATATATGTGTGTGTGTGTGTGTATATATATATATATATATAAAAATTTAGAGGTCAGGTCTTGCTCTGTTGCCTGGGCTGGAGTGCAGTGGTATAATACAATCATAGTTCACTGCAGCTTTGAGCTCTTGTGCTCAAGAAGTGATCCTCCTGTCTTGGACCCCCAAAGTGCTAGAAGTACAGGTGTGAACCACTGTGCCCAGTCTCTAAGGACACTTAAAAACCCATTTGACTGAGGGAATATCCTCCTGTGAATAAGTATTTATCGGATTTGCAGCATTCGTTGAATGATGGGATTACTTTGTGCCCTTGAGTGTCTATCTGTCTATTATGACTGTTTAAAGGAGTTTTTAGTCCATTTGTGGGAGGATAGTAAAATTAATCATAATAAATTGATATGTATTACCTAAAGGGATACAAGGATGCCTAATAAAAGATGGTTTTAGGTGAAGAGGGCTGTTCAATTCAAATACCTTTTCTCCCTATTTTTCCAGGAGGTTCCTGGGGCCTGGCCCCCAAGACTATGAAGAGCCTTTGCTGAGGCCATGAGGGGTTACCATGGCGACCGAGGCAGCCATCCCCGCCCAGCCCGCTTTGCTGACCAGCAGCATATGGACGTGGGCCCAGCTGCCAGGGCCCCATACCTGCTGGGCTCCAGGGAGGCCTTCTCCACTGAGCCCCGCTTCTGTGCCCCAAGAGCTGGCCTGGGACACATTTCTCCTGAAGGGCCCCTGAGCCTGAGTGAGGGGCCGTCGGTAGGCCCTGAGGGAGGGCCAGGGGGGGCCGGGGTTGGGGGGGGTAGCAGCACCTTCCCCAGGATGTACCCTGGCCAGAGCCCCTTCGACACCTGTGAAGACTGTGTGGGCCACCCACAGGGCAAGGGTGCCCCCCGCCTGCCTCCTACACTCCTGGATCAGTTTGAAAAGCAGTTGCCAGTTCAACAAGATGGCTTCCACACACTACCATACCAGCGAGGGCCAGCAGGGGCAGGGCCCGGGCCGGCGCCAGGGACTGGCACTGCCCCAGAGCCCCGCAGCGAGAGCCCTAGCCGCATCCGGCACCTGGTTCATTCTGTGCAGAAGCTCTTTGCCAAGTCCCACTCTCTGGAGGCGCCGGGGAAGCGGGACTATAATGGGCCCAAGGCTGAGGGAAGAGGTGGCTCTGGAGGAGACAGCTACCCTGGCCCAGGCTCCGGAGGCCCCCACACCTCCCACCACCACCATCACCACCACCATCACCACCACCACCAGTCCCGGCACGGCAAGAGGAGCAAGAGCAAGGACCGCAAGGGGGATGGGCGGCATCAGGCCAAGTCTACAGGCTGGTGGAGCTCCGATGACAACTTGGACAGTGATAGTGGCTTCCTGGCGGGTGGCAGGCCCCCTGGGGAGCCTGGTGGTCCCTTCTGCCTGGAGGGTCCAGATGGGTCCTACCGGGACTTGAGCTTCAAGGGGCGCTCGGGCGGGTCGGAAGGCCGCTGCCTTGCCTGCACTGGCATGTCCATGTCACTGGATGGACAGTCGGTCAAGCGAAGTGCCTGGCATACCATGATGGTCAGCCAGGGCCGGGATGGATACCCGGGGGCCGGGCCAGGCAAGGGGCTCCTGGGTCCAGAGACCAAGGCCAAAGCCAGGACTTATCACTATCTGCAGGTGAGGCTTTTTGGGGGTTGGGGAATAGGGTCCTCAGCCTTCACCAGTCTTGTCAACCAGGGAGCAGTGGAAAGTGTTGGGTGAGAGCCAGCTGTCCCTGTGATGGAGGGCCTGGATGCCGGGAGGCTCTGCCCTGCCCCATTGGGTCACTCTGAGCTCCTGTGGGGCTTCACTTTCCCTATTTGTGCCATGAAGGGCCCTTCTGTTCTAATGATGTGTCAGTCCCTGGAGACTTCCGCTTGACCTACTGTTTTGGACAGGCTGTGCTGATCTCTGTCTTAGGAGGTTGGAGGCATAATGAAGTTGAGGACAGGCAGTGGACAGGATACTGAGGTGCACCTTAGCTGTGGCTGCTCTTAAGCTTGAAGGTCAGCAGTTGGAAAGCAAAGCCTTCTCCAGCCCTCTTTTCTGCTATAATCCGGGTGGCCCACATGTTTGAATATGAAGATCCGTTATTTCCAGAATGTGCCTCTGCTGAAGTTTGTCATTCCGGGGTACCTGTGGTGGGACAGCCGAAGCTGTGGAGGGGTCCTGGGAGTTTCATGTGTCTCATGTGTTTTCCTAGGTTAGGGGACAAACTGGATTTCAGCCCTGATACAATTCAGGCAGGGCCTCCTGGGAGTGGATGGTGCAGGTGATAGCTGGCATGCTGTTCTCATCTTGTCTTACCATCTCTATGGTCTCTGCAGGTGAGGCCAGGAGCTCTGATTCCTACTTTTTATGGAGCCTTCACCCCAGCCTCATCCAGCCTACATCGTTTTCTTAAGTCATGCCATAATTTTAGGAGAAAAAGTCAATACAAGTTCTGGAGGTTCAGTGTATTTCTGCATTCCACATAGCTGCTACAGATCTATTTATTCAATGAGCATTTCTGGGTGCTGTGGATACAAGGATGAAGATACAGATGCTGCTTGTGAGGAGCTCACAGTGTACAGTGGGAATAGACAAGGAAGCAGATAGAATATAGCGTGGTGAGGCTGTGATAGGAGAGAGCCCTGGGCTTCTTGGGAACACAGAGGAGACACCTCACCGAATTGGGTGAGGAATGTTCCCTGAGCTGAATCTCGGTGGAGGAGTTGCAGTTGTTGAGTGCCGACTAAAGGTATTCTGGGAAGAGACTATACAGCATGTTCAAAGGTGTGGAAAATAGAGTCTGCGTGTGTCTTTGTGGGACATTGGCCTTGCTAGGTAAGTTGTGCACAAGTTAGGGCTCTCCTGGAGAACTCATGAAGGCCCAAGGGAGCACATAGGGCCACAGAGCAAATAAGAAGGGACTTCTGGATTCAGGACTTCTGGATTGGCCTGGTTTGCCCCCTCCCTGGGTAGGGAGGTGCTCTAAGCTGGGAACTGAAGGGTCCAGGGAGGGAATACCCATCCTTTCTCCCCCATAGCCGACTCCTTGCCATCCCTGAAGACTCACTGCCATTTCGCTGCTCCCTGCTGCTTCTCCAGGGCTGCCCTGACCTCCCTGGGGGCTTCCTTTTTAACATGCACCTCACAGTGTCCTGCAGAGGAGTGAGGAGCTCTGCAGTGGCTAGAGTGGGAACCCTGCAGTGTGGCCTTCCCATCTGCTGGCCTGCCTCTCTCCACCTGCCTGCTGCTCTCTGTAGAGAATGGGGAAGGGGAATGATCTCTCTGATCTGGAGTTCCAGGGTATCTGAGGACTGGGATGTCTGAGCCCATGTGGGGAAGAACCAAGGGGCTACAGGGACCCTCCAGAAAGCCTCGTGCTCCCCTGGTACAAAAGCAGGGGAGACTGGCCACATGCGGCCAGGTGTCTTTGTCGGACTCCCAATCCGATTGTTGAAGCCCTGTTTCTCCCACTGGATACCAGCTTTGTCTTAAGCCTCTTCCAGAATCCCTCTGTCCACTCTGAGCCCCTGTTTCTTTATGGAGCCTCATCTCTTTGTTTCTCATCTTCCGATTGAGCCCCAGCCCCTCGAAGAGGCCTGCTCCTCCCCGTGGGTTCCTTCTCATCCCGAGTCTCCACCTTTTCCCTGAACCCTATGCTGTCCCTGAGGTGTTACCCCTTTTGGAGCTCCCATCCCTACCCCATTTAACCTGTTCTTTGCAACAAGGGTTTTAAATCCTCCCTACCTCCCCCAGACCTCTCCCCCACGTCTTCACTTACACCTCATTTTCCGAAGTGTAGGCTGACATCACAGACTCCCTCAGCTTCCTGACAGCATCTCTCTAGACACATCCAGATTCTCAGCCACCCTCATCTCCTTCCTTGGCTCATAGGAAAAGCTGGGACCACCCATCCCAGGCTGATCCTTCCTCCAGGGCTTGAGTCCATCTCCTCATGACCCCCTCCATCCCTGAACTGTTCTCCTCCCTTCTGAGGTTTAAAGACTATTTTTACTGGCTCTTTCTGTCATCCTGAAAACATGTCCAAAGTTACTTGCATCCTAAAAAATATTTCTGCAGCTCCATCCCACCTTCCATGTCCTTCATAATCAAGTTCTTAGAGCATAGACGCCTCTTCTTCACTTTCCTTCAATTCTCCCCTCACTGTGGTCTGATTCCCACACTTCCTGTCATTGACATGCCCTGGCAGTGGCCACAGATGATCTCTTGAGAGCTGTCTTCAAAAGGTACTTTTTGGTGCCTATAATAATTGTTACCATTTATTGACCACTTTCTATGTCCTGGAAACTCTCTATTGGCTCATTTATCTTTGCCACCAACCCTCCGATGTAGGCATAAGTATCATGACCAACTCGCAGACAAGGAAACTGACACTTAGAGGTTAATCCGTTTTGCTTAAGTTCACCTATCCAGCAAGTGATGGGGCCAGAATTGCACATGAATCTTCTAACTCCCAAGCCTGAGTTACTAACCTCTGAACGCACTGTGGCATTTGACATAATCGACTCCTTTTATTCTTGAAATGTCTCCTGTTTCTATGACATGGCATTTTCCTGACTTCCCTCCTACCCCTCTGCCCACTCCTTCTCAGGTGACTTCACAGGCTCCTCTTCCTTTCTTCACAGTCCCTTTTTAAATGTCAGTGGATCTCTGCTCATCTCTCTTCTTCTCTCCCCTGGGCTGTCTCATTCACTGCTATGGATTCAGCTGCCGCCCATGACTCCCACATGTCCGCCTCCAACCCCGATCTCCCCACTGAATCCCAGAACCAAACATCCAACCACCTGCTCAACAGTTCTATGCCAAGCTCAAGGTGCTCAACCCCGACCCTACCACCTTTTCCCAGACTTGTTTCTCTGGGGTTCTATGGCTCAGTGAGCAGCAGCACCCTCCTCCAGGTCCTCAGCCAGCAGCCTGGCAGTCATCCTCGACTCCTCCCGCCCCCTCATCCCCCACGTCTAATCAGGCTCACTGATGCTCCTTAACACCTCTCATTTCCATCTCCTTCTCTTCCCCCTCATTGTCATTGTCTTAATTTAGGCCTCATCATCTCTTGCCTGGATAACAGCGTCAGCCTCCTAATTGGTCGTCCTCTCGCCACTTGAGCCTCTGCCCTGCTCCTGGCCCTCCACAATCCAGCCTCTGTTTGGACTGTGGGAGAGCTCTTTCTGCAACACAAATCTGATGTCACTCCCCTGCATGAAGCCCTCTGTGGCTCCCCACAGCGGGGAAGGAGAGAGGATTTGGAATGTAAGCAGGTTGAAAGGATGAAGGAAAAGGAAGGGTAGAAGGTTGACTGAGGTCAGGTGATGCCTGACTGCCGGGCATGGAATTGACACAGGTCACTTTGGCCTCTGATCATCAACTGCTTGACACCTGTCATGTCACTCCCTCAGACTCTCTAGGTGGCCCTTAATTAAGTGCAGAAGGTCTGTGGAGGATGACGAGGTGTCTCTTGTAAGGGAGGGGGACAGCCTGAGACCCTCCCCTTCTGCCTCTGCATGTACCTGAGTGTGCCTGTTCAAGCCAGGGCAGAGCACCTCCCACTGGCAGGGGGGAAAGAGTCCTGGCCTCTAGATTTACTAGGGTCAAGTCTGAGAGACAGAGGCCCCTGTTCCTGCAGGTGCCGCAAGATGACTGGGGGGGTTACCCCACTGGTGGCAAGGATGGGGAGATCCCCTGCCGCAGGATGCGGAGCGGCAGCTACATCAAAGCCATGGGGGATGAGGAGAGCGGAGACTCAGACGGCAGCCCCAAGACATCTCCCAAAGCAGTCGCCCGACGCTTCACCACCCGTCGCTCCTCCAGCGTGGACCAGGCCAGGATCAAGTAAGGACAGGGAGGGCCGGGGGGTGCGGGTCGGGAGGCTGAGGCTGGATTCCTGCGGGAGATGTGTGTAGAGTGGGTGAAAGTCAAGTAGTCCTGCTTAGGGTTCAACTAGGGTGTCTCACTCCGCTCCACATAAAGGGAGGGTCTTGGTGGGAGTCCTTCTCTGGGGCCTCTTTGGGAGTCTCTTTACCCAGGATCTCCTAAGGGATCTCTCTTTGGGGGTTCTGAGGAATAGGACTTGCTCAGGGGCCCCAGTGCTATTATCTCCCCTCCCCCACCTCCTAGCAGTCCACTGTTCTGACTCCGGAATTTTGCCCTTCCCAGCTGCTGTGTCCCACCCCGGATCCACCCCCGGAGCTCCATCCCTGGCTACAGCCGTTCCCTCACCACTGGACAGGTAGGGAGAGGCCCAGTATGCCTGGAGGAAAGAGTGAAAAGGGGATTCAGTGCCATGTTTAGCTTAGGACTTAAAATCAGAGGGTCTGCCCGTGGAGAGAGCTCAGGCCTGGCTCTGGGGAAACTGGGAAACCTGCCTTAGGACTCCTGGAGCTGACTTAGGCTGGGAGTCTCAGAGAATCACAGCCTTAAAATCCACCAAGTGTCCTCAAAGTGATGAGCTTGTAAGGGCAACTCCAGTGCCCTGGGGCTCTCCACAGGCCCAATTGCTTCCTCCCTGCCCCCGTGTAAAAGGTAGGATTGATTTGTACAGACAGGGCACAGGCCAAGCTGCAGTCTCAGACATGATCTGGGCCTGAATTCTGCCACCCTGCCCCTCTGTCCTGAGGAACCACAAGCAAGAGACCTCACTTTTCAACACCTCTGTTTCTCGTCTTTAAAATGGCAATAGTAGGGACAGTTATTTTGCAGGGGTTTTGTGAGAGTTCCGTGAGAAAATGTATGCAAACACAAGGTACTTGGCCCGAAAATGGCATTTGAGAAATGTGAGTTCCATATCTAAGTACAGACTTTCCCTTTAATTAGACGGAAGCAGTGCCGTTTAGTAATTAAACACACGAGATGGGGTTGAATTCCAGATTGGCTACTTACCAGCTGAGTGACCTGGGGCAAGTTACTTGACTTTTTTTGAGCCCCGCTTTCCCTTTTTAAAAATAGGCATCATAATAGTGTTCTTGGCACATAGCCAGCATTCAATAAAGGTTAGCTATTTTTACTGTATGCTGGGGAAAAAATGCAATGCAAAAGACCATCCACGTTGGCTCCCATTGTTCACTGCTGCAGTCTCTCAGTATTCCTTTTCCATTGCCTGAACCAGGGAATCTGATTGGCACAGCTCTCTTTTTACATCAGACCAGCCTATGTTGTTAAACCCACGAGTTAAATGCTTAGCCCTCATTTTACCTGGCCCATCAGTCACATGTAACACAGTTGAAGACTCCCTCCTTCCTGAAAGACTGTACTTGGTTGGCTTGGAGGACACCACGCCCTCTACATTCTCCTGGATTCTCTCCCTGGCTGCTTATCCTCAGTCTGTGTCTTGGGTGCCTCTGCAACTCCCCAGGATGTGAACACTGGAGTTTTCTAGAACTCAACCCCTGGACTTCTCTCTATACCTACTCCTTAGGTGATCTTGTCCGGGCTCATGGCTGAGAGCCTGATGACTACCAAATGTATATCTCCAGCCCAAACTCTCCCGTAAATGCCAGGCATATATGTCTAACTGTGCATTGAAATCTCATTTGGATGCTTAGTAGACATCTCAAACTTAAGATGTCCAAAACTAAACTACTGATACACACACCCTCCACAATCCCCTCCCGTCCCTCGCTGCTGCAGTTGCTGCTCTATCCTCTGAATTCTCCATTTCAGATGACAACTTTATCCTTCTAGAAGCTCTGGTTTAAAAGGCTGAAGTCAGTTTGACCACTTTCTCTCTCTCACAACTCACCTCCAATCCTTCAGCTAATCCTGCTGGTCCCACCTTTAAATATATCCAGGATCCAACCACTCCTCACCACCTCCACTGCCACTGGTTCTTCCAGGCACCATATCCTTTTGTCTGGATGATGGCACTGCCTTCTAGTTGGTCTCCTGTATTTGCTCTTGCTCCACTTCATCCTCTCTCATTACAGCCCGCATGATCTTTAAAAACTATAATCACACTCACTCACTCTTCTGCTCAAAACCCTCACCTTGCTCAGAGTAAACTCAGGAACCTAACCATGGTTTTCAAGGCCTGCATGACCTGGTGACCTCGCTGGAGTGGAGCTGCCTCTGAGTTCCTCTTCTAACGCTGTTCCCCTCCCTCCCACTCCAGCCACACGAGACTCCCTAGGGCCCTTGCATTTGCCACTACCTTTGCCTGGGTGTCACCTTCCCAGACACTCCCATGGATCACTTCCTCACTTCTTTCAGGTCTTTTCCCAAAGGCTCTAAAATTTTAATTTAACGCCCCCCTTCCAACATTTCCTATTCCCCTTCTCTGTGCTGTCATTGTTGAGGTCTTCTCCGCCTTCTTCCTCCTGCTCTTTTTCCTTCTTCTTAGCACTTTGCACTATCTAACATCACATATACTTGACATATTTAGCCTGGAGGTATGGCTTCTTATGCTTGCTTTATAGAAGATGAAATAAGTTTAAAGCACTAGAGATGTCACCCTATTATGTCTCATAATACTTTTTTTCTCCTTAAGTCTATTGTTTTTTTGTTTAGTATTTGCCTGGAACACCTTGTTCCATCTTTTACTTTAAAGCTTTTTGTCTACGTCTCAGGTATATTTTTTGAAAATAATTATAGCTACATTTTACCTATATCCATTCTGATAACTGCTTGAGAGTTTAGTACATTTATATTTATTGTGATTACTGATAATCTGTGATTACCCCTTGGCCTAAACCTAGGGTACTGTGATGACCCAGGCCCTAACCCTTGGATTTATTTCTATCATCTTATTTTGGGACTTGTATTTGTCTTGCCTTTGGGCTGATGCTTTTCTGTTCCTTTGCTGCCTCCTTTTGGTTTGAGTTTTCTTTATTCTTCTCCCCACCAAATCCCACACTGGTTTAGTAGTTATATATCCTATTTTATTCTTTGTGGTTACCCTTATAATTTTCATATGCATATTTGACTTAATGACTGAAGCTGACAGTTTTTTCTGTACTCCTCCTGAACAATGCAGAGACCCTAGGACTTTTTTTTTTTTTTTTTGTGACGGAGTCTGGCTCTGTTGCCCAGGTCAGAGTGCAGTGGCTAGATCTCTGCTCACTGCAACCTCCGCCTCCCAGGTTCAAGCAATTCTCCTGCCTCAGCCTCCCAAATAACTGCACCACTATACCTGGCTAATTGTTTTGTATTTTTAGTAGAGACAGGTTTCACTATGTTGGCCAGGCTGGTTCCAAACTCCTGACATCAGGTGATCCACCCGCCTTGGCCTCCCAAAGTGCTGGGATTACAGATGTGAGCCACCATACCTGGCCAACATTTTGATTTTGATGACCTCTTCCCTTCTTGTTCTTTTTTTTGGCAACAAAAATTTATTTTCTCACAGTTCTGGAGGCTAGAAATCTGATCAAGCTGTCAGCTGGAGTGGTTTCTACCATTCAGTGATTTGTATTTTTATATTTTTTATGTTGCTGTTTGGAGAAAAAAACATTTTAAATTTGATGGTGCATAATTCATCAATTTTTCTCTTCTTGATTGTGCTTTGGTGCAAAATTTAAGAAATCTTTGTCTAATGCAAGATCACAAAAAATTACTCTAATGTTTCTACTAAGCATTTTGTAGTTTAATATGTATATTTAGATGTATGACCCACTTTGAGTAGTGTGTGTGTGTGTGTGTGTGTGATTCGAGTTAGGGGTCCAGCTTTATCTTTTGGAATGTGGATATCCAATTTTCCCAGCATCATTTGTTGAAAAGGCTTTTCTTTCCTCATTGAAATTTCTTGGCCCCTTTTTCAAAATCAATTTACTGTAAATGCATGTGTTTATTAATGAACCTTAAAACTTATTCCATTGGTCTGCATGAACCTATCTTTATGCTATTACCACATGCTTTGATTGCTGTAACTGTGTAGTAAGTGTTGATTTTGGTAAGTTGAAATTATACGATTTTGTTACTCCTTTTAAAGATTGCTTTGTGTTTTGTGTTTCCTTTGTGTACACACATGATTTTTGGGTAGGCTTGTTGATTTCTATAAGAAAATGTAGTTGGGAATTTGAAGGGATTGCCCTGAATATATAGATGGGGTATTGTATTCTTAACAATATTAAGTGTTATTATCCTTGAATATTGGATGTATTTCCATTCATTAAATTCTTCTTTGGTTTCTTTCAGTATTTATTTTATTTTTATTGTTATTATTATTTTAAATTTTTTTTTTTTTTTGAGATAGAGTCTCGCTTTGTCGCCCAGGCTGGAGTGCAGTGGCATGATCTCAGCTCACTGCAAGCTCTGCCTCCCGGGTTCACGCCATTCTCCTGCCTCAGCCTCCCGAGTAGCTGGCACTACAGGTGCCCGCCACAACACCTGGCTAATTTTTTTTTTGTTTTTTTTAGTAGAGACGGAGTTTCACTGTGCTAGCTAGGATGGTCTCAATCTCCTGACCTCGTGATCCACCCGCCTTGGCCTCCCAAAGTGCTGGGTTTACAGGCGTGAGCCACCATGCCTGGCCTATTTTACTTTTAATTTTTATTATACATTGACAAATTGTAGGTGTATATATTTATGGGGTACAAAGTAATGTTATGATTTATGAATACAATGTGGAATAATTACATCAAGTGAATTGACATGCCCATCACCTCAAATACTTAAGTGATCTTAGGACACTTTAATTTCCTTGACTTCTTCCTTTCTTATGTGGACTTATTGCCCAGTATTTTAGTTCTACCTTTTAACCTGTCAAATTAGTCTCCATTATTATTGTTACTTTTTATATTGTTAGCTCTTGATTATATATACTCACATCTCTACCTTTTTTACTCCTCACTTTACCCCCTTACATCTCATTGTTTCCTCCTATATTCTTGGTAATTTTTTCAGTGAATATCTGTTAGTAGCAAACTTGAACTTTAACAAAAAATATATTTTACCCATACTGTTTGATACAGTTTAGCTTACTGTGGGAATTCTAGCTTAACATTTATTTTCTCTCAGTGTTTTGAAGATACTCTTGTCATTTGTCTGTTGGTGCCGTTAAGGAGTCTACTATCAACCTGATTGTCTTTGTAGGCAGTTTTAATTTCTCTCAGGTTGCTGTTGAGATCTTGCTTTGATTTTTATCATTCTGCAGTTTCACTATGATATGTTCATGTGTGTGCTCCATAGATCTGTGGATTCATGTTTTTCTTCAATTCTGGAAAATTCTCTCATGTTATAATTTGCATAGTATATATTTTCCCCATTCTTTTACTTTCAACTGTTTGTGTTTCAGATTTA